GTCTTCTGTGAAGTGCCTGTTTGATTTCTTTGCCCATTTATTGACTGGGTTATTATTATTAATAATCATCATATTGGTGTTGAGTTCTTTGTATATCCTGGAGATTAATGCTATACCTGAGGTGCAGGTGGAAAAGATTTTCTCCCATTCTGTAGGGTCTYTCTTCACACTCAATTATTTCCTTTGCACTGGAGCTTTTTAGTTTGAGTCCATCCACTTATTGATTCTTGATTTTACTTCTTTTGCTTTAGGAGTCTTGTTGAGGAATTTAGTTCCTAGGCCAATATGATAGAGATTTGGGCATACTTTTTCTTCTAGCAGGCATGGGGTCTCTGGTCTAATGCATAGTTCCTTGATCTGCTTTGGGTTGAATTTTGTGTAGGGTAAGAGATAAGGCTTCAATTTCATTCTGCTACATATGGATTCCAAGTTTTCCCAGCACCATTTGTTGAAGAGGCTATTTATCCAATGTATATTTATGGCAGCTTTGTTTAGTATGAGATAACTGTATTTATGTAAGGTTTGTCTCTGTGTCTTCTATTTTGTAAAATTGGTCTTCATGTCTGTTTTGTTGCCAATACCATGATGTTTTTGTAACTATAATTCTGTAGTATAATTTAAGATCTGGTATTGTGATGCCTCTGCATCACTTTTCTTGCCAGGGATTGCTCTGGCTATTCTGTACCTCTTATTTTTTCCAAATGAATTTCATGTTTGCATTTTCGATTTCTACTAGAAACATCATTGTAATTTTACTAGGAATTGCATTAAATCTACCTTACTGCTTTTTAAAGTTTTATTTACATTCCTCTGCAGAATTTAGGGCTTCCTTATTGTACAAGTTCATAAATCATCCTAAAATATGGGGGTGCATACATACATCTCCTAGTAGGCACCTAACATTCATAAAATAAATAAAYCTCTGTGCTTACTGAGGAACTTTAGTTATATTGATTGCCTGCTGCACAGACCTAGTCACAATAAGTAAGCTCTTTCATGCAACCATGAGTGAAAAGAAAACTCTACCTCCTCATCTGTATTTCAAATTTGCTGTTTTCCTTCTATCTTGATTTCATGTTTCAAATCAGTTGTCTCTACTGAGACTCACCTGCTCTGTCATTAGTGGGGTGGTGTCCATGGAACATGTGCCATTTGATATTTCACTTTTGATGAATAAGAATATGAAGGCGCTGTAAAGAAAACACATTTAGTGATATTTATCATAACATGTGTCCGCATTAAGCTGCCTTTTAAGCAAAAAAAACCCACTTTAAATCTTTAAGTACCTATGATATGAACATAACTTCCAAATTGCCACTGMAGTCGTCCTGCCATTTCTTTAGAACTGCCTTTCTATCTGATGTCTCTCCTTTTGTTTTCTCCTTTCACGTCCCTATCATAATGCACTCCCACATCTAGTATCTTTACAGCAAATGCCTGACTTAGTATTGAACTGTATTCAATAAGCATTTATTAATCATCTATTATGTCTAAAACATGTTTTGGAAAAGTCTGATGATGATGTGAAAGGGTTGTTGTACATGGATARTAATGGATCTTGCTTCTTTCAGGATCTCATAGTTCAACATGCTGATGGGAGGCATGTGGCTAGAATTAAAAGATGCACAAGGTCATTGTGCTTTTGTGGCAGCTCCAGTGGTTTCCAGCCAGTGCTATCTCAAGGCAGAGGCAGTTGATCCAGCAATGCCTGTTGGGCTGTGCTCTCCTTCCCTRTTTTGCTCCATGGGGTCAACAATACCTTCTATTAAATCCTCTGTTATTTAAAATTCCTAGTGTGGCTGGATGCAGTGGTGCATGCCTATGATTCTAGTGGCTCTGGAGACTGAGACAGGAGGATTTCAAGTTCAAATCCAGCCTTAGCTACTTAGCAAGGCCCTGAACAACTCAGTGAGACTCCGTCTCTAAATAAAATACAAAAAAAGGGGATGTGGCTCTGTGGTTAAGTGCATCTGGGATTAATCCTTTCCACCATAATAAATAAATAAATAAATAAATAAGTAACCCAGTGTGGTATTTAGTTATACAGGTTTTCACAGAGGGAAAATGTAAAGCTAGAAATTATCTATCCAATCTTTTAAAGATTGAATGGTACAGAGGATCCAAACAGTTGTTTTAATTTTAAATAGAAAAGCAACACTCTAAACCAGTGGAACCATATTCCAAGTTTCTTTACACACATCATGAAGCTCCAAGTTTATCCAATGAATGTTCTTCAGAAAAAAACTGATTTCAATGAGTTAAAGTAATGAAATGACAGATTCTTAAAATTCCTCCCTGAAGAGAAACATAATTGGGGTCCTAGAGACCCCACAGGAAGAGATCATTGCATGGATTCAGATCTGAGCCAAGCTGCAAGAGTTCTCAAGYACATTGTCTAGTTTAACAGAAATTTGATCAGAGTAATGCTATAATTAGGCTTTTTTCCCCCCTCTGCAGTACTGGGGATTAAACCTGGGGTGCTTTATCACTAAACTTTTTATTTTTAATTTTTTTTTTTTAATTTGAGACAGGGTCTTGCTAAGTTGCTGAGACTGGTCTAGAACTTGTGATTCTCCTGCCTCAGTTGCTTGAGTTTCTGGGATTACAGCCATGCACCATCGTGCCAGGCTATAGTTAGGATATTAAGTGTTTCCCAGAAGCCCATGTGTGACAGGCTTGGTCCCTAGCCTGTGGTAGGGGAGGTGGTGGAGGAAGTTAGCTCATTGGAGGCTTCCCTGGAAGGAGACTTTGGGAACTAGTCCCTTCTTTTCTCTCTTGGGCCATGAGGTGAGCACCTTTGCTCCCCACCAAGTTACTYTGCCTCACCACAAACCCCAAAGCAACAGGGCCAATTAACCATGGATTGAAACCTCCAAATTCATGGGCCAAAATAAACTTTCTCTGTCCAAGCTGATAATCTCAAGTATTATTTGTTTAAATAACAGAAAGCTAACAGAATTATTAAAAAAATAGTGATCAAAATGAAAACTGCCTAACATAAATGAGCATTAACTATGGTACCTGATATTTTCAAAGCATTTAGCATATTTTATTTCATTTAATCCTCAAAATGTCTCATAAGATTGGTTTTATTATTATTATTATTATTATTATTATTATTAATGAAGAAACCAAGACTTGGAGAAATGAAATGAATTGGCCAAGGTCACACAGGAAGAGTGGTAAAACATAAATAATTAATTTGTAATCTTAGAAAATGCATTCTTTCTACAGGAAAAAGAAACATTGAGAGAACAATCCTTAATAGACTGGGTAAACTAGGCTTAGATTACCATTAAGTTAAAACTAAGGCATGCTACATTACAATTTTAGGGTGCAAAGAAATTGCTTTTGAGAGAGCTATTCAAATGTAGAATATTGTAAAAAAGTCRTACAAAATACATAAAATAGCCTCTAACCAAAAAGTGTCCAGAATATACTACTTTAGAATAATCTACATTATTTCTCCTCTAGTTGCCCTAGGACTACTCTCTAAGGCAACATTTCAATGACAAAGAGATTGTTCCTGAATGTGGCTGGGGAAAAGCCATCATTGCTGGTGGAAGGGAAATATACTGTTCTTTCCCTGAAGACTAAAAATGTACTAAAATCTTTCTAGGCTGTGCTATTCATTTTGTGAAGACTGACAGGGAATATAAATGGAGTCTGGAGAGGATGGGGACTGARTTTAAGGTGACCTAATTCCTGTTAGAATTTTCTTGAACAAACACCACCATGTAGAGATTCAGATTCATTTTTATCCTCACTCATATAGTGTGTATGASGAGACACAGATACATCCAAAAATAGGTATCCAGAAGAGCATGGGTTTTCCCAGGAGAGACAGTGATTATCTGTTAGGTTAAGAAGAATGAGTGAGAAGTCAGAAATAGACACTGGCAACAGAGTGAGTACTGTAGGCCCCTTTATCCGAGGTTTTGTTTTCCAAAGTTTCATTTACTTGTGGTCAACCCTGGTCTGAAAATATTAAATGGAAACTTCCRGAAACAAACAATTCATAACCTTTAAATTGTGCATAATTCTGAGTAGCATGATAAAATCTCATGTCGTATCATCATGTCAAGCCTGGGCCATAACCCATCCCTTTGTCAATGGATCCATGCTGTATATGCTACTCACCAATTGGTCACTTAGTAGTTGTCTTGGTTATCAAACTGATTATCATGGTATTGCAGTGCTTTATTCAAGTAGCCCCTCTTTTGCTTAGTAGTGGCCCCAAAAACACAAARTACTGGTGTGGGCAAAGCAGATATGCCAAAGAGAAACTGTAAGTTGCTTCCTTTAAGTATAAAGGCAAAAGTTCTCAACTTTAAAAGGAAAGAAAAATCATTGTGAGCTGAAGTTGCTAAGATCCATGGTAAGAGATTGTGAAGAAGAGAAATTTATGATAGTTTTTCTATTGCACCTCAAATTGCAAAAGAATTGTCACAGTGTGTGATAAATGCATAGTTATGATGGAGAAGGCATTAAATTATAGAGTTTGGTACTATCTGCAGTTTTAGGCATCCATTTGGACTTTGGGACATATTCCCCTTGAATGAATTAGGACTATATAATAAACAGAAGAGAGAATCAATGACTATTTCAGGGCATCAGGAAGCCAGCATTTATTTATATAGCATGTTTGAATTAGCAGTATACTTTAATATACCTTGATTGTAATTTATGAGCTATGTATTCTGATTTTCTACAAATTATAGATAACAGAACTGAGCTTCAAATAATTTAAATGACTTTCTCAGTGTCTCCACTACTGATAGCTACTGATGGTGTTCCTGAATTCAGATCTAGTATTTTTGTACTCTAAAACTGGTTTGTCATTATAAATGAAGAATATGAAGGAAAAAATCCTGCAGATTTTATTAAATGTAGGCTCAAAAATAGTAAACACATCAGGATCCTTAAAAAGCAGTTCAAACGTTTGAAAGAATAGCTAAAACATTAGAAATGGCTATGTACCTTACTATTGAGAGCCCAGCTCCAATATAATTTAGCAGAGGTTTTGGTACTTCTTCTGCATCCATTCCAAACCAGCCAAACCTGGAAATTCAGAGAGTCATATCAAATTAGATATTGTTGACATGTTGTACCATATTGTTTAAGGGCATAGATGTGGGGCCAGATCCTGGGTTCAAACTCTAGCCCTTATTCTTTCTAACTCTAACTTTGGAAAATTTTCCATGTTAAAAGTGGGGAAACAATCGTACTTATAGGTTTGTTATAAACATTAAATGGGTTATCATATGTAAAAGTACTACTTGTAAGTGTCCCTTTTCTATTAAAACTTAAGAAGGAGAAAAAAATAGTTCAAGTGAACAACTGAATACTAATTAATTGGCTGCAATTTTGTATAGTATTTAGTTTTTTTTTTTTTTTTGGCATGCTGAATATTGAACCAAGGGCTTTGAGCATGCTAGGCAAGCGCTCTACCACTGAACTACACCCAAGAACTTGTATAGTGTTAGAAATATATTTTTAAATAACTTGGTTAAAAACTTCTATTCTTTGCAATCACTTTAAATTCTTCTTTTTCTTTTTCCCCTCATGCCTTGACACTATGGTGATCATCACAAAGAATTACTGAGAACCATATAGAGGCAAGGGATAAGGAAGCAAGAAGAAGCAGAAAGTAGTTATTTGTAAAAAGTTCAGGTGGTAATGGGAAAGAACAAGAAAGAATGTACCCAGTGGAGGTTAGTAAATTAGTTTGCTTTCCTGGTTTGAGGTGGTAATAATGCTTTTGACTGCAAGGGGAGCCCACATTGTAAGGCGAGAGCAACATTCTTCATTTTGCTCATTTCCCCAAATTTGTCTTGAGTGTTCACATTAATGTAGACCAAGGGCAGTTAGACTGGTCCACACATGCTGTATGATAGGGAAGCCACCAGCCATCCATGACTACTGAGCACTTGAAATGTGACTAGTACAACTGAGAAATTTAATGGTTGCTTTTCTCAATGTTTAACTCATAGCCTGTGGATTCAATATACATAGACTGTGGGTTGTGGCTACTCTGTTGGACAGCACTATTCTAGAACTAGGGTTTGCAAACTTTTTCTTAAAGGGCCAGAGTTAGAGTTTCAGACTTCCTAGGTTTGAGGTTCTCTTGCTTTGCAAGCAGCCATAGAGACAGAAGCTGTGGCCCACTCCTGTAATCCTAGCAGCTATGGAGCCTGAGGCAGGAGGATCACAAGTTCAAAGCCAACCTCAGAAACTCAGCAAACCCCTAAGCAACTTAGTGAGACCCTGTCTCAAAAACAAACAAACAAACAAACAAACAAAAAAACAAAACAACAACAACAACAACAAAAAAGGAGGCTGGGTTAAGCGCCCCTGGGTTCAATCCCTGGTACCAAAAAAAAAAAAAAAAAAAAAAAAAACAACCAAAACCCAAAAGCCAAACAAACAAACAAACAAACAAAAAAACCAAAAAGAAAACTAGCCACAGTTAATATTAAATGGATGTGGATGGAAAAGCAGGAGACCAGTTCACAGATTGGAGATCTGCTGTAAGGGAAGAATATGTGGTTTAGAATTAGAAGGCTGGGTTTGAATCCTGGCTTACTAGTCTGTGACCTGCATGACTCAACCTCTTTGAGGATCAGCTCTCTTATAGCACTTAACTTGCATAATTATGAAAATAAAATGAGGATAATGCATATAACATTTTTAGTTAATTGTCAGGTAACAGGAAGAGGAAATAAACAGTTTTCCTTCTCCCACTTTTTTCCTAGATATAATTCTTTCAATATTTTTTGTTTTATTTTTTTTGCTATATCTTGATCAAGTATCTTGATAATTTACTAAGAACTTAGAAAAATAATTAAATGTGACATTTTATTTCTGTGAGAATAAGAATCATATGCTATTCTTCTCAGCAAGCCCAATCCTTAGCACTTGTCTTACATTGGATATGGGTGAGGGGAATCTTAGTTGAAAAGTTGACTTGTATTACCTTGAGCTTGCCCAGCCAGTTATAGCATTAAATGATCCCCAGATTAGGATTCCAAGGCCTAAACCAATGGTTTTGATAATTGGGACCACAGCAACGTTCCCTGTAGATGCAATACACAGAAAAAAATTGTTATTTTCAATATATAAAATAAATTTATAAAYTAGTGTTTATTTATATTTAAAATTAGTGTTTATTTCAACTTCAACTGAAGTGCATGGGGTTTATATAAATTTAGTAAAGGATATTTCTTCATTTTAAAATAAGATAACTACTTTTTAGCATTAAATTTACAATTACGATTGCTCAAAGAACTAGACTTCGGGAAAAATCCCATGAAGACATTGAATTAGCTTCTTGCCTAACTGTACAGATGTTCTTCATCCTTAACAAGGGTTTCTATTTCAGGGCTCTTTGTAAAAGATGTAAACGACAAAACTATAGTTCTCCTTGAATCAATCTGGGGCCAACCACTGGAGAAGCCTTGACTCCAATATAGCCTCAGAATCTACCCTTCTACCTTCATGGACTTGTCTTCCAGGTTTCCACATTCACCTTCATTGACTTTTCTTCTAAATCTCCCAATTTATTACCTTGTGGTCTTAAGGGTCACTCAGGGCCAAATCCATGATTGATTTTTACCAGTTCTTAACCCCTCATTAGCATGGCCTCAGCCCTGCAGTCTAGCCTCCTTCTTACACGATTTCCTTTTTGGATATCCAAGATTCCTTCAATTCCTGGTTATTCTCCTGTATCTCTCTAGTTCTTTCCAGCTGTTCTTTCTCATCATGCCTTCTGGATTAAGTGCCTCCCGCAGATTTCACTTGGAACATGCTCTTCTTGCTATTATCTATATTCTTCATTGGGTACTGCACCTAATTTCATGATTTCAGTTGTCAACCTCAACACATACTCCCAGCATGACAGCTCCAGCCTATACCTGCTTGAGTGTGAAGTGTTATGCTGATAAGAAGTTTGCAGCTAGATGTTCTATTGATGAAACGTAGGATTTTCAAATTCAGAAGGTTCCAAGTTAACTCCATCATTTTCCCTTCCAAATATTTCTTTCTGTTTCCTCATGTATCAATAATAGCATCCTCCTAATCAACTATAATAAAGCCCTACACCATCAATTCCTCCCTTTTCTCTGTGGTCCATATCCTATCAGTTGTTATGATCCCAATCTGTACTATCCCAATCTGTAACATATCCTCAAATTTGGCTCTTCCCCACTGACTCCCAGTGGAATCTGCTGAGTGAATATAAAACACTACTGAGGTTGTAAAAATCTGTAGGTTGGATGGATGCTTGCTTATGAGCACATAAGATAATAGATGAGATTTGCTTAAAAAGATTGAAATATTTGAAATAATAATTTTCTATCAAGAACTTAAAAATCATTGAAAGGAACAAATCAGGAAATGTTCACAAATATGTATTGAATATTTAAAAGRAAGAAATTACATAGTTAATTTATATTATCTATGACTAAGTATTATAGAGAATTTCTGTTTGTGCTCTTTCTTCCCTTTGTGAGTTTGAGACGTGTTTTGATCATTATTAAATGATCATACMAAAGGTTACAACGTACAATACCTGTTGCCCAGATGCAGCCCCCAAGCATTGCAAAAGGCCAAAACTTAGGGCATCGTAATATCAGGTTGACCACCAAAGCAACCAACCAAATGGCAGCACAAAGAACCCACTGAAGAAACATTCCTGGAAACAGAAGAACTTGGTGTTAATGCTCCAACATGATTTGAGTGAATTTTTGCTTAGGAATATGGATAACACAGTAGGCATGGACACAGTTTACTAAACGTCTATGCAATCGGAACTTTGCACATGTCATTTTTACAACTACTCTGCATTGTAATTAACACGAACTTAAAGAGAAAATAAATCCYAGATGAAACAATTTGCCCAAATAGCTGCTAGTTTGCAGATCTGAAATTTAAACGCAGGTTGTTTGATGCTAAGCCTATACACAATGCATTCTGGATTAATTCTTCTTCTTTTTTTCACCTATCAAACAAATCAGGAATTCTCAGTTACAGAATGCTGGCCAGACCAAGTCTGTAATTCCATTCAGATGTGACATTAAGAGCCATCCACCCAAAACATGGCATTAAGACTTTAGAGTAGCACACAGTGACTTAAAACTTTTTAGGAATGATTTGTGCCAACTCTGGGATAAAAATAAAGTCTTTTATGGCCCCCAACTGGTCTCATCTAGAGTCGAATGCCTGTGATAAGCCAGAAATTACAAATCTGGGAATAAGCCTTCTAGATCAGGACTGCTCTCCTTTGTAATGTTTTTAGCTGATATTTGCTGATGATCTGAAGATCACCTGATGATATGAGATGTATCTGTACCTCTCTGAAGCTGCTGCAGCATCAAGGATTTAGGAATTAAAAAGATAAGGAAATAGTTGACAGTGAAAGAAAAAGTCAGTTATAACTCAACCTGTCACTTTTGACTTTGAGGATGATTTTTGCCTATTTCTATTTACTCTCACAGTGGAGGAGAGGGAAAAAAATTGGCTTCTAAGACAACAAAGTAATATCACCAGATGAAAAGGAACTTCATTTTATAAATTCTTCACTTTACAAGAGAGAAACTAAAAATGAAAGATCTGAGAAGATTTGCCCAGGGCTGGGAGTGTATATAGCTCAATGGTAGAGCATGTGCCATGTGTGAGGCCCTGGGTTCAATCTACAAAGCCCAAACAACTAACTAAATTAACTAATTAAATTTAAAGAARTAGACTTGCCCAGAAGCACAAAGCTAATTGCAAGAAACCTAAAATCCAGGTCCTCTACTCTTCCCCCTCCCCCTCCCCCACTTTTTTTTTTTTTTTTTAAGTAGTTTCTATTCCTGTTTCAAGTCCAAATAAAAAGAGAAGAAAGACTCTGGAGGAAAAAGATTTGTAATCCTATGGTCTAGGCAGTATGAAGACATAAGAAATTAAGGAGATAAATGCTAACAGAAAGTTTCTTCCTAAGAGATATTCCTCATTCCAATATCCTCAATTCCTTCTGGCTTCCATATGGAGGGTATTAAATAAAAATAACTCTGACTTTTCATTCTCTAAAATAAACATCACAGGCAGTTTTAAGATGACATGTGCATTACTAAATATCACTGCAAAGCCTTCAAAACTATGCAAAAACCATGCAATACAAACCACAGAGCTTTTAGGGAACACGGGTTTTGGGGAAAGAACACTGGAAAACTTCATCAGCGATGTATCAAAAAAGAGTAGACCTAATGAGAATGACAGTTGTTTTTAACTGGTTAAATACATGAATGCTGCAATAAATATAGCACTCAAAATTGAAAAAGACCGTAAGTTAGCTATAGAAGTAGCACTGGAAGATGAAATTACTGTGAAGTTGGTGAATAGAGGATTTTGCCTTCAGATGCATGTAGTGTGATGCATAACACATGGGGTGAACTGAGGAAGCTTAGGGGTTTGAAAAATGTGTGTGTGTTTGTGTGTGTGTGTCTACATGTGCATGCATTTTGTCTAATACTACACATCTGTATTCATCTTGGTGCAGTTTTCTTTGTTCACCTAGTGTTTTCTCAGAGACAAAATTGCATATGAGCTAGAACAAAGCTCCTGTTAGGCTCAACACTGTTCTGTAATACATCAATCATATCGGAAATGTGTGTTTTCAAAACAAGTGTTATTAGAATTTACTGTGACTTTCTTCTTATGTACACATAGCAGATACTGTCTGAAAAGCTTTCCTGACAGTACCTAGCTCCACTGTTTTACCATAAAATCTTAAGGGTGATCCTATACTAACTCTCAGAGAAAACAGGTATGGATACTGTCAAATGATTTATGTTAATACTTTTCATTACTTTTTTAGGTATAATTTTTTTAAAAAGACCCAAAAGATTTAAAAATAATTTTAGGTTAATAATGAAGAGAAAATAATTACCATCACCAGTATCATATTTTTTAAGTGGCACAAAGTTTGAGCCAAACAAAAGTACCGCTACAGAAGAGGAGAGGTAGCCAATGGCTAGATCTGTTCCATTATTGGTCATGGTTCCAGGAGTGCAAGAGAGGGCTGGTTCACTTTTGGCYCTATATGCTTTTCAAGAGTTTCTGAAATAAAAGAAATAAAAATGAAACAATCGAGAAGTGTTGAATCTCTGAACAAATTGTAATTAATACACAATATCATCAATCAAAAGTATGGACTCTAAAATAACTTCTTGAAGATGATTAGAACATTATGCAGTTATATAATGTTCACATGCCACATGTTCATTCATTAATTTTTTTCATTTATTCTTCCAACAAGTATGTTTTATCACTAACTTACAAGTTTAAAAATCCAACATTTTTTTTTGCAATTTAACTTCTTCCAAGATCTGGATGCAATTTTTATTATATTATATAAAAGATTCTTCTCTATAGGTAGACTAGTATAAGGGAAAGATTTGGGGGCTGGAACTTGGTTTACTTCAGTTGGTTGTTGTGACAATCAAATGCAAAAACACCTGCAAGGACTTCTAGAAAGCCTAAGTGCTTTCTAAGCACAAGCTTTTGTTTTCTTTTCAACATCAGCTTCAGAGCACTTTAGGTTGTACTGCTGCGACAAACTCAGAATTCCCTAGGGGGAAAGGTACTTTTCTTTTCATGAGTAATACACCCATTGTAAGTTTTAGTCTAAATAGTTCATGAATCTCAGTGGGTATATAATAGAGGTAGACTCTGTGCTGAGCATTTGGGAGGCAATGAGTTCCATCCCAGCACCGAGAAAAAAAAAAAAATATATATATATATATATATAAATGTCGTTCATGAACCTCTGTATCATTATGACCTTTAAAAAAAATAAACAGATAGAAGACATGCTTCAAGAATCTTGTAAAGTGAAAGATCAGCAGTGGTGTGTTGTGCAATAATATCAACCAGTTGAAGTGTATGAGTCAGCTACTTAGCTGTCTGTGTTGTGCAATCCAGGAGCCATTAGGAACATACAATAGCTAAATTTTCATTAAAATGAATTAAATCAAAAGAGTGAAAAATTCAGTTCCTCAGCCACATCAACTACATTTCAAGTGCTTAATAACTACATGTGACCATTAGCTACCCTATTGCACAGTGCAAGTTACAGAACTCTTCTATCACTGAAAAAAGTTCTAGTGGACAGCAGTGGTTCTCCTATGAAGAAAAGGACCCAAACTGCAAGAAACCAAGAGCCATTTTTTAAAAATAAGAAAACATTAGGAAAAGACCACTAAATACAATTCACCTTATTCAGCTGCATGAACTTCATGAAACACACACACACACACACACACACACACACACACAGACACTTTTATCAGTTTTTCCATAATACCATTTTGTATTTGTATTCGTATATTGACCCTTTGGAATAACCTTGTGGAATACAATTCAAGATAATCCAGTTTTTCTTTTTTCTTCAAATTTAATATCTTGTTGATATGCATTGAATAAAAAAACACCTGAAATAAACTTTCCTTGTTATTTTATTTTTAAAAATAATAAATATTTAAAGATCCATGTAGTAGTTTTACTGATAGGCTCCAAGAAAGTTTAAGCCCTCGAAATGGCTCACAGGCATAAAGCTCAAAGGGCCAAATAGGCAGAGCTGCTAAGATATGATATCAGAGCTAAGCAGGGTCAGAGAGATGAGAATTATCTGGGAAAGCTATCATGGGAGTAGAAAGGCAGGATTAGGTGTTAGATAAGAATATTTTTTTTCCATTTTAATTAAAAAGAAACAAAGCAAAACAAAATTTTTGTAAGTACATTGATAAAAACAGATGACTAAACTTCAAAGACAGCAGATTATTTTATTGTCAGACAGCCTTACACCTCTCAGATTTCACCCTGAATTGAAAGAATAATTTGAAGTGCTAATCAAGGTGCATGAACTGCAATTTGACTGCTGCATGACCATTAATCATTTATAACCCATATATAAATAAAGTTTATTGCACACAGCATGTGATCTAATTTCAATGTGTATTGGTAATAACTTACTGTCTTTAAGAAAGAGTCTACCTCTTTCTAAATCAATGAAGGTTTTGTGGAAAAGAAAGCACCATCACTTTTTTTCTAGCATATTGCTCTCAATTGCTTTTAATCCAAATCTGTTAAGTCTCAAACTATATTTATTTTGGTGCTGGATGGAATTTCTCTTTGTAATTTTACATTTACTTTTTTCCTTTTTAAAATTTTTATTATCTGATTTTCTAACTGGCATAAAACATAAAAATTGTACATATTAATGGGGTGTAAGGGGATATTTCCATCCATGTATTCATTGTGTAATCTTAAATCACATTAAACATCTTTCTTCAAACCTTTATCATTTCTCCATGAGAAAAACTTTCAAAATTTTTCCTTTTGTTTGAACTTTTAGTGAAACCAACATAATTTTATAATGTTCACTTTTAACTGTCTATGTTTTATTAAACTGTATTCTTTTTAAAAATTTTACTACATCATCTCACTTATTAGTAAATATTTTTTCCCCAACGTTTTCCCTACCAATTTAAACTTCTAATCATCCCCTCCTTCTTTGTTAAATTAGTATTTGGTGGGTTCTGATCTATACTGCTTGTTCTGCTTCACAACGATTTCATTCTTAGTTTCATGCTAATTTCCTCAAATCTCCTGCAAGCCTTTGCTGATCTCTTGGTTAAAGTTAACAGTGTTTGCAYGTATTTATTCTGAGCCTGGAGTTTTCTTTTAACCACCCCTCTGTTTTTTGAAAAGTCACTCCCGCCCCCGGCACCGCCACCCGGTCTCTGTACTCACCGCGTTGTGTTCCGGCTGCGCAGGGACTGAGTCCTACTGGGCGCCCTGAGCTCGACCCCTTCCCTGGCCCAACCAACTCTCCGGGAGCTACTTCCTGCTCTCACAGTTCCCTTCCAGCACCTGCCTAGGGAGGCTTTCACAGGGCTGCAGGTTGGGACCGCCTTTTTTTCCAGTGCGGGACTGGAGCGAACTGTCAGGTGACAGTTGAGGAGTCGTCAAGCCCTTTGTCAATCAACCAGCAAACCAGAAGAGTATTGAGTATAAAGACGTGATTGTTCAGAGAAGGCTGGGCATGTCAYCCTAAGCTCACAGTGTTATTTGTGGTGTTTCTGAATAAAATAAAAGACTGGGGAATTTCACATTATGGGTAATATTGTAAAATATTGTAAAATATTACCCCCAATGAACATCAAAAAATTCATCTTGAGGTCACTAACATCTCCTGTGACACGAATTTCACTTGTAATCACTAATCCTTTCTAAATGCATTCAAACCATTGATTTGTATATTTATTTAATGTGTACTGAGTGATAGATGAGTATAGGACTTTCTAGGCTTCTTAAGCTTGGTGGCATCATACTGCAATGACCAGGGAGGGGTGGGGTGTGTGTGTGTGTGTGTGTGTGTGTGTGTGTGTGTGTGTGTGTGTTTCTTCTTCTTTTAATACGAATCTCATACCAGACCAACTAAAATAGAATCTCTAGGGGTGTGGCTCCAGAATCATTTCCTTTTAAAACTTCCTTCAGATGACATTAATGGGAAGCCAGGCATGAGAATTATATTCTATATTTATATGATGTTCTGTATTTCATTGCTTGTTAATTGCCTGAAGAATGGTTGAAAMTGTTGACATCTCTACATAGATTTTTAAGAAACATTGCTTTAGTCTTCTATTGTCCAATATTTAAGTAGCCACTAGCAACATGTGGTTATTATTTAAATTAGAAAAAAAGTAGAATAAAAAAATCCAGTAATTTCACTTGCATTGGACACTTCAACTGCTAAAGCCATATATGCAGATTATAGGACATTTCAATCTTGCAAAAGTTCTACTRGAAAGCATTGTTTTACACAGCCCTGGGAGTGTGTAGACAAAGTCCTAACTTCACTTGGTTCCAGTTCAACAAAGGATACAGACATGAACTTCAAGTTCAAAAAGGGGAAGTACTAAGTTCTATCCCAGTCTGAGTTTAAGGAAGTCCTCTTTGAAATTAAGTGATATTTAACTGAGACCATCCAGTGGTTGTTGATGGTTATGCAGTTCACAAAAAGAAAAACAAAACAAAACCAAAAAAACATTAAGGACCATCCAAAGATGAGGTATCCTGGAGATTTTGCTTTCAATATTGCTCACAGTCATAAACTACAGTGTCATAAACTAAGCAGATTCGAAGTCAAAGGATTATTTCATTTTAGGTATTTAAAGAAGCTAAGACTTTTCCCTTAAAGGAAAAGATTAATTTAGCAGTTCAGAAAGATTTTGAAAAAATAACATCCCTTTAGCAGGCGGACATACTTACTTAGCACATCTCTGTTTGTTGTGCTTTGCAGATATTGTATATTTTCACAAATTGAAGTTTTGTTAAGCAAGTCTGTTGATGCCATTTCCCCAAAATTATGTGCTCATTTTGTTTCTATGGGTCACATTTTGGTAATTATCATAGTATTTCAAAMTTTTTTTCTTTTTCTTTTGTACTGAGGATTGAAACCAGGGGCACTTAACCACTGAGCTACATTCCCAGACCTTATTTTATTTTTTATTTTAAGACAGGGTCTCCCTAAGTTGCCTAGGGCCTCACTAAGTTGCTGAGGCTGGCTTTGAACTTGTGATTCTTCTGCCTCAGTCTCCTGAGCCACTGGGATTCCTRGCATGTGCCATTGTGCCCAKAAAACTTCAAWTTTTTTTCATTATTCTTGTATCTGTTATGAGATCACTGATCTGTGATCAGTGATCTTTGATGTAACTATTGTAATTGTTTTGGGGTACTATGAACTGCAACCATAGAACACAGGAAGATTAATTGATAAATGTGTGTATTCTGACTGCTCCAGCATCTGACAGTTTCTCTCTTTGGACCTTCCTATTCCCAACAATATTGAAATTAAAACACTTAATAACCCTGTAATTGCCTTCAAGTGTTCAAGCAAACATAAGAGTCACATGCCTCTCATTAAAAACAAACAAACAAACAAACAAAAACAAAAAGAAAAAACTAGAAGTAATTAAGCTTAGTGAAGAAGGCTGGTTGAAAGATCAGATAGGCTGAAATCTAGGCCTATTGTGTCATACAGTA